AGGGTTATATTGGGGTTATATTCTGCGTCAGTCTCCAAAAGAGGGCATCTTGCTATTTTCATTTTCTGGTACCTGCACGAGACATCCAAGTGAATGGTTGCCGTGAAGGAACATTTCCGCAACGTCTACCGAGAAACCTGGGGCAGGGAGCTCAGAGAGCGGATCATCCCAGCTCCTCCAACTGACCTCTTTGATTGCACTCCGCGTTGCGTACTTTCAAATCTAGCAAAAAAGCAAGGCTGATTTGGCAGCTGAGAAACACTCGGCACATGACATGATTGAAGGCCAGCATGCCAGCGAAGAATGCAAAATTACTAAGTGAGCACTCTATCTGCTTGTAACATCCTTGGTTATTGCGCGATTCAACCAGTTTTGACCCGAAGCTTCAGTAGATGCCGTAATGAGGTCACCGCCCCACTCGCTGGGTTCTGGCCAATGTGCCGAACCTCATGATCCTGGACGATCACGATATCCGCAGCTCTCACGAAAAGACATGCTCCTGTCTATAGGCCAAGCCTATCTTCCTGAAGTTCTGATAAGATGAGCTTGGGCCATGCCAAAACTTGGTTTTAGGGCTTCCTGTACTTAGCGTTCAGATTTAGAGGGGCATCAAGATCCTTTAAGCACAGTAGTTCATTTGCAATACTTCTCAGGCATGCGCACGAGGGAGTGGAGGGTAATGAAGGAAGGGATATTCCCACTTCAGGGCCTTAAACGCCGTGCACTTTTGCAGAAAGCTAGCTAGCGGTAAGGTGATGACTGGGGAGACCGGCCGGAGGACAAGGAGACCGGGTCTCTTGACAGGCCAGGAACCTACGTGGAAACTTTCTGGGTAGGCCCCTGGGATATTAAATATTTTTCCTAATGGCTTTAATAAGGGACCCTGTATACTAATATTTTTCAAAAGGTTTTAGGGGCCAACCCAGTTTTAGAGTTTAGGGTTCAGGGTTGGGCCTCATCTTAGGAGTCGTTGAAATAGGGATTGTAGCATCTGGGGTACGATATGCCGGGCTATACTCTGTACTGTCCTTAGGAACTATTTTTAATCTCGATTCTAGTATAGCCCTAAAGAAATATTAAACATATTGTTTTTATTCTAGGTCTAAGCCTAGACCCTCCTCCTACCCTCTATTAGGGCCTAAGTACCCACTATTAGGGACCATATATCCCCAATTAAGGGTACAAGGAAGGTCCTGGAGGAGACTACAGTATCTATGGAAAAGCCCAAAAGGATGCGAGACAAGCCCCCAGTCATCCCAGTGCCCTCGACAGAAAAAGGTTTCTGGCCGAGATCGCGTATCGCGTCCTCAACTCCTACCAGAGACTGGGTTGCCGTGAAGGAAATTGGATGAGGGTTACCATAAGCATAATATGGGTATATAGTGAATAAAAGGGCTTCATTTTTTTAGTACCCCTAAACCCTATAAACTCTAAAACCCTTCAAATACCCATATGGCCTATATACCTTTTTTTTATAGTGCCTTGATTTGAGTTCCTTAACAGCAACCCAGGAGAGTTCTTCACGAGGATCCTGTGCAACCAGATGGGACGATCCTCAAGCCAGAGCGCGACTACCATATGACTCCTGGACTAAAGTTCTAGCACATCATTCCTTCATAGGTCCTCCTGTACCCTCTATACATCACTCTGCAGGTCCTCCCTAATGTAACTGGATAGTTCCTAGCTCAATGCAACTGCTTGGCATGAGTAGTTGTTGCGGATCCACTCGGGAAGAGAGAGCTGTGGAGTCTGTGAAGGCATGTTTTCGGAGAAGTGGCCCTTCTTTTCGTGGACGTCCGCGGCTGCAAGACTTTCCACTGGAAAGAAGAGGAGGCTTGACCCAACCTAAACTTACTGGTGGTTGGTAGGGAATATTGGAATATATCAAGTGGGGATTGTATAGTATGGTATAAATATAGTATATATATATATAGGGATTCTACTCTCTGAGTCCCTACTAGACCCCCAGTAAGTAAACCAGGCTTTTTTGCCTTTGCGGAAAGTTGTCTTCTTGCCTAGAAAGCTTACCCGACCTCAGCTCCTTAGCCACCATGTTCCGAGACCTATAACCTGAAACAATATGGGATTATGTAGGGGTTATATTGGGGTGGTATAGGGGTTACATAGTTGTTATATAGGGGTTATGTAGGGACCATATTGGGGTTATATAAGGGTTATATAGGGGCTATATAGGAGTTATATTGGGGTTATAGGGGCTATAGGGGTTATATATGGGCTATGTAGGGGTTATTTAGGGTTGAGAGTTTCCGGCCCTGGAGCTTAAGGTGATTTGAAAATTTATTTATTTTCAGAAAATTTATGAAAAAATTATAAAATCAATTTATGAAATCAAAAATAGGTCATTTTGGATTTATGAAAAATTTATGAAAAATTTATGAAAAATTTATGAAAATCAATGATTTTCATTGATTTTCAGCAAAAAATGAGGAAAATGAGGAAAAATGATGAATTCTCTAGGAAAACCGAAGGATTTCATCATTTTTAACGAAAAAATGAAAAAATTAGAGAAATTTAGTGATTTTTCAGCAAAAATCTAGAATTTCATAAATTTTTCATAAAAATTTCATAATTTTTTCGAAAATTGTTCGAAAATTTATGGAAAATTGTTCGAAAATTTATGGAAAATTTATG